AATTAGTGACAGATTAATTTTGTATGTAGTTAAACCATAAGATTCATTGCTAATCTTACTTAACCACAGATTATCAAATTTTCTATTAACCATGAGGAATTTAACGATGAAGTTCACAGTTGATTTTAGTTCTTGCCTCGGGGATAATCATAAAGAACTAAGTATATAGATTATTATTTTTTTAAAAAAAAAAACTAATTAAATCTAAGCCAACTAGATTATGTCAAGGGCTTGGCGAGGATTATCTCTTTTTATTTATTATATTTAAAAGAAAGTAGCATAGTGAATGAGTTAGGTACTCTACAAATAGGTGATTATATATAAAAGAGAATATAAAAATTCCCTTTTCAGAGGCCGTAGCCGGCTTCAAGGTTAAAATTTTATTAGTTCAAATTTTGAGAATTTAATATTGAACTTATTAAATTATAAAATTATAAAAATTTGTATTTACTATTATTGAAACGTAATATATTTTTATATATAAATTTACACTTTATATCAAAAATTGTAAATTCAATTGAACTCACACCAACAATGAATGATACATCGCCTCTGAATAAAAGGCGAACATATTAACAACACCGATTGACATAGTTTGATTGGTGAATGTCTACCTTACTTTAAGCATTTATATGTATTGAATTATAAGCTTCGTGATTTTAAAGTTATTTTATGAAGTATGGGCGGAATGTTTGGTAGTAGGTTTCAAGGTGTGTTATGCAAGTATTAAATTTTGTATAAGTAATATCATATTTATTTGCTAGTTTGGAGGTAGTTATCATGAAGATATAAGATTAATATGATGCTTAGTTTATAATTTAGAAACTTACATAATTAACGTATGTTTTCTCTTATTATATAAGTGGGAGTTGAGGCTATCCATTAACTTGACATGTGGAATTACTAGATTTTTCTCTTATTATTTTCTATTCTACTATATAATAAAAGGGAGTTTATGATGGGACATTCTATTATTTACAAATGACTTAAAAATTATCTTAATAAATCATTTACAAATGACTTAAAAATTATCTTAATAAATCATTTACAAATTACTTAAAATATTTAAAAGATATATAATAAAATAGGTTGCCTCTCATTCTCTTATTATATAAGTGGGAGTTGAGGCTACCCATTAACTTGACATGTGGAATTACTAGATTTTTCTCTTATTATTTTCTATTCTACTATATAATAAAAGGAAGTTTATGATGGGACATTTTACTATTTACAAATGACTTAAAAATTAGAGGAAATACATAATTACCCCATGGAACTTATACCTTTTTTTTAAGTAGACACCTTAACTTTACGGGGGTCCTATTACCCTACGAAACCATCCAAAAGCACAACAAATACATCATTTTTTCACCATCAGTGCTCTCAATCCAAGAGCGTGTGCCACACCTCCACCCCATTTAACAAAGGCCGGATTTTATCCTAACCCATTCATTTTTTAACCCATAATCCAAACCCTAAGAAATTTCCAACCCATTTCACTTTCACCTACTCTCGTCTCTCTCTCTTTGACCGATCAAAACCCTAAGAAACTTCATGAGGCGAAGCTAGTTGGTAACATTGTAGGTTGAAATTTGTTGAATAGTGGTGTCGGAACGAAGAAGTGAAGGCTCATAGGTTAGTTATTTGAAAAATCTTTGAGAAAAAGTTTATTTTACATTGTAAGTGAATTTTGTAGTGATTAGTCGTTAGTTTATTTTACATTGTTTGATGCGTATTTCGTTAGTCTTTCATTTGACATCTCTCCCTCAAAACCTAATCACAGGAAATTGATTTCACAGATTTTAAACAAAAAAAAAGTAATTAAAGTGAGAAATTGCAGATCTCCAATGGCTAACAATGGAGAATTTGAGAAGGTGGTCTATTTAATGAAGAAGCTAATTCAAATTGGGAATGCCACATGTCATTTTAACATTGGTTGGATGTTGTTTTTTTATTCCTTGACGCACCCAACCTGCGTGACAACACTGATGGGTTTGAAATGGGTCAAAATGATGTATTTACTGTGCTTTTGAATGGTTTCGTGGGGTAATAGGACCCCCGCAAACTTAAGGTGTCTACTTAAAAAAAGGGTACAAGTTCCATGGGGTAATTATATATTTCCTCTAAACATTATCTTAATAAATCATTTACAAATTATTTAAAATATTTAAAAGATATATAATAAAATAGGTTGACTCTCAGAATTCTATCAGGGTCACATATATCGGGACAGAAAAAAATAATATATATCATTTTAAAATTACCAAAAAATATTATAAATAATAATAAATAACAACTTAAAATATCTTAAAGACATTTTAAAAGGGTTAATTTTGTAATTTTATCCATATCACATAAATTAGGACAAAGTGACCGGTAATGTACGTTATTTGAAAGTTACATAAAAATATTATAAATCACAATAATTAATAACTTAAAACATTTTTAAAAAAAAATGAAAATTTGGATGACTCTCCAAATTTCATTTGTGTCACATAAATTCAGACAACAAAAATAACATATATTGGGTCCATTTTAATTTATTTGTCATAAATCATGATAATTGACAACATAAAATATGTTTTGAAAAAGATACAAAAAATTTCATTGATTCTTGAAGTTAATCTATCGTAAAAATATTATAAATCATGATAATTGACAACATAAAATATTTTAAAAATAAATACATATAAAAAAATTCGATTGATTCTTCAAATTAATTTATCGTTAAAAATTATGTATAAAATACAATAAATCGTGATAATTGACAACTTAAAATATTTATTAAAAAACACAAAAAAATAAATTGACTGATCTATTTAGAAATGACTTAAAAAGATAAATCATTTACAAATGACTTCAAATATTTAAAAGATATATAATAAAATAGGTTGACTCTCATAATTTTATCAGGGTCACATATATTGGGACAGAAAAAATAACATATATCATTTTAAAATTACCAAAAAAGTATTATAAATAATAATAATAATTAACAACTTAAAATATCTGAAAGACACTTTAAAAGGGTTAATTTTGTAATTTTATCCATATCACATAAATTAGGACAAAGTTACCAGTAATGTAGGTAAATTTAAATAACTCACTATATTTTATCTGTGTCACATACATCATAAAAGGGAGTTTATGCCCAAGTATAATATATAATATTCAAGATTGGGACTTTTCCCAATCTTCAATATTATATATTATACTTGGGCATAAACTTCCTTTTAAAAGTCCCAATCTTGAACATAAACTCCCTTTTAAAATAATATGTATATATATATATATATATATATATATATGTGTGTGTGTGTGTGTGTGTGTGTGTGTGTTTGTGTGTGTGTGTCACAAATGGAAAAGTCCCAATAAGGAAGCAACATATATCATTTACAAATGACTTAAAAAGCATTAAAAATTACAATAATTACCAATTTAAAATATTTAAAAGCTATATAATAAAATAGGTTGACTCTCAGAATTCTATCAGGGTCACATATATTGGGACAGAAAAAATAACACATATCATTTTAAAATTACCAAAAAAGTATTATAAATAATAATAATTAAACTTAAAATATCTTAAAGACATTTTAAAAAGGTTAATTTTGTATTTTTATCCATATCACATAAATTAGGACAAAGTGACCAGTAATGTACGTTATTTGAAAGTTACATAAAAATATTATAAATCACAATAATTAATAACTTAAAACATTTTTTTTAAAAATGAAAATTTGGAAGACTCTCCAAATTTCTTTGTGTCACATAAATTGAGACAACAAAAATAACATATATTGGGTCCATTTTAATTTATTTGTCTTATTTTTTGTTAGTTTTTTTTATATTTAAAAATTGCGTAAAAATACTATAAATCATGATAATTGACAACATAAAATATGTTTTGAAAAAAAATACAAAAAATTCCACTGATTCTTGAAGTGAATCTATCGTAAAAATACTATAAATCATGATAATTGACAACATAAAATATTTTCAAAATGTTGTATGTGGGTAGTCTTATTATGCCTTAAATAGCGTCAAAGAAAGTACAAGTTTGTGATAAAAAAAACTTATTCTTTTATCCACGCAAACAATCGCTTCAAAAATTTGATTATTAACTCCAAAACATACCATTTATATTATTGAGCCAGTGTATAGCACAGGCAACATTATCTAGCATAATATAAGAGAATCTATTTAAGAGAATCTATTTCTTATTTTATGCATGATAAATGATAAAATAACTAATACATAAATAACTAAATTTTGAATTTAATAATTACATAAATAATATTAATTTTTTTGGTAATTAATTCATTCAGTATATTTCTATTATTTAACTTTATTTAGTTACCAAACGGCCAGACAATAATGGTAGAGAAAGTGCATTTTTATATCCTAAAGTCAAAAGGAGTTCGTCATGGAGAAACTTTGTGAGTACTAATTTGAAGCCAATTTTTTTTTAAAAGAAAACAACAGAAATAAGCAAATACTTATAATAAAAAAGTAAACTAAGATAATGAATGCGATTGACTTATGAAAAAATTAAATTGAACAGAAAAAATAGAGAATGAATTATGGGCTTGACTTTGGAGATGGCCGAGCTGGCAATCAATTTGTTTCAGACAAAATGGCAGGAACCCACATGGCTTTTCATTATTTTTTCTAATTCTTTATGTGACAAATTTTCCTGCACCCCACAATTAGTATTTATAATAATTAAAATAAAAATAGTACAACACTGACTTGAGGCTAGCACATTAAAGACTAGACTAGATATTCCCTACACAATGTGAGCACCATTAGTAGAACTAGAGATTAATAATATAAAGTTGAACATGTAAATAATCGATTCAAGCTTAAATCATATAAAAGAGTGTGTTTATTTGTTTGATTTTATCTAAATTTATTTATATTATTTTAAATATTTTTTAAAACTTGATTTTCCTATTTTACCCCTTTTTTTTTCATTATCTCACCCATATATATAAACAAATAAAATCTCTCGCTTTCTCCATCTCCATTTCTTCAATCTCCTTCCTCTCTCTATTTCTTCAATGGATAATAAACCGGAAACGTCATTAGACAACGCAGTTCATCAACGATCTGAACCGGGTTCCCAAACCGGTTCATCTCCATCAACAATTACGACTCACCACTTATCGGTTCCACCCGGTTTAACTCCGGAAGAATTCCAAGAGCTAAGTTCATCCATCGCTGAGTTCCACTCATACCGAATCAACTCGGGCCAATGCTCTTCCCTAGTCGCGCAGCGAATCCACGCGCCGGCCGATACCGTCTGGACCGTCGTTCGCCGGTTCGACAAGCCACAAACGTACAAGCACTTCATCAAAAGCTGTTCGGTAGGTGAAGACTTCCGTATGGCCGTCGGATCCACCCGTGACGTCACCGTCATCTCCGGTTTACCGGCCGCTACCAGTACCGAACGGTTAGATATATTAGACGATGACCGTCACGTCACCGGATTTAGTATCATTGGCGGAGAACACCGGTTGAGGAATTACCGGTCAGTTACGACGGTGCATGGATTGGAACGCGATGGAGAGATCTGGACGGTTGTTTTGGAATCGTACGTTGTAGATGTACCGGAAGGGAATACGGAGGAAGATACACGCCTTTTCGCTGATACAGTTGTGAAATTGAACCTTCAGAAATTGGCTTCTGTTACTGAAACTTTGGCTCGTGAGGCCGGTAATGGTGGTGGTGATAGTAGTGATGTAAGTCACAGGTGAATTATGTGATTTATCCAAACTATAAAAAAAAAAGTGTTCTTTTTTTTTCGTTTTTTTTTTTTTTCGTTCTTTCTATTGGCTTTTGCCTTTTGGGGTTTATGTGTTTGACAATGGATTAATTAATAGAAAGAAAGATTTCAATTAAAGGTAATTAAATTTTCACCGTAATTTACTTATATTTATCTTATTTTTTATTACCTTGCTTTGTAGGATTACATGAATTATAAATTTGTTTATTCTATGGCATATTTGTTAAGTTTGTGCTTTTGATTAGATCATTTCTCCAGTTATTTTTTTCCCACATATAGTAGCTATTTGTCCATTTCCATTCACCAATTATTTGCTCCTAACGTGTGTTTGAAGTAACTTTCTTTGCTTCTTTTTTTATGTCAACCAATCACTTTGTTAACATTGATACTCCATTAATCATATATGAATAATTGTATGTGACATCAACCTACCTAATTTCGCTCATTGACGGAGTCAAAATTTTCAAAAATATTTTTCTACTGAATCTATTTGCTTTTCTTTAGTCCCCACTACTGATTAGATGGGTATGTGTTTGGTTGATGAGTGTCAAAATTATAAATTTCATTGTTAAGTATATTTAAGATTTAATATATATGTATATTTTTATATCTTGAAGGGTATGTAATTGGTGTCTCTTTAGTCTAAATATAATTTACTATGCTATGGAGTTTTTGTAATTCTTTTGGTATATTTGAATATTTCTAAGGACTTTTTTGCATATATATTCCTGCTCAAGTTTTTTCAAGAATATTTTCTGAAAAGTTTTTCTTAAAGTTATCTATTTGAAGAGCAGTTTGTGTTTTGCTGACTGTTTTGGAATAAGAAAAGTTCTTAGAAAATTATTACTTTGTTTGGATTCCAAATAATGGTTAGAAGTAGTTGCTTAAATATACTTGTGAACAATTTTAGTTCTTTAAATTTGTTAAAATTGAATCGTTTTAACTTCTATCAGATATTTTAATATTCTATCAATTACATGTGAAAGAAACTATAAAAAAAAAACAAAGTTTATCCAGAAATAATAAAAACGTTCTATCGCATTTTAGAAATTACACCAAATTCTGAAAAATATACCGAAATAGCATAAATTACAAAAAATTCACCTTAAAATATGGATTCCTACTTTTTCATGGTTCTCATCAAATATAACTGACCAAATTTTAATTCATTCAGAAATCAGAACACTCCAAAAGATTTTTTTTTTAACTTTACTTTATTTATCAGAAATATAATTTAGTTATGTTACCAAATAAACAAGGTTTACTTCTCTATAGAACTTGTTTGGAAAAAGCATTTTGCGGCTAAATGTGAAAGATACTCAATTAAACAACAATATTAGGAAATTAATACTCAAAAGGGAAAAGAGAATCAAGAAAATACCTAAAAGGAGAATAAAAAGCAGACAGGAGAAATTGTTTAAGGATAGTGCTCAGAGTGGATAGTATTTTCTCCGTCTTATATTAGTCGTTTATTTTCTTCATTACATGCCTCTTAAAAATTTACAAATAAAAAGGATAATTTTACTTATTTACTCTTTAAGAAACTTTTCAAAAATTTCATAAACTTATTTACACTTTAAAAAGAAAAAGAAATAATTATAAAAATAAAATTAATTAATTTTATGTTAATTTTATTAATTAATAAGTAATTTAGAATAACTATTTTTAATCATATGAACAATTAATATAAAACAGAGAAAGTGAGGTACAACATAGGCAGGTGGAGTTCAAACTTCAAGGACAAATATCACTCAAACATGAGAGTCACTATCTTTTGTCTATCAACCTTATGGTATACCGTCTTTTGTGATTACTAAACTAGTTCGGAGGATAGTCTTTTACATTAATGATTCGAGATTGATCTCATTTTAATGTTTTTTGAGTCAAATCTGTTATATAAGACTTGTCTAACGTACTTTATATCTGCTGAATAATTTATAAGCTGTGACAAATATGATAGTGATTGTGAATATTTTATTTTATTTTTAAAAAAACTTGTGATATACTTCAACCTATTGGACAGTTTTTCTTTTGGGTAGGGGGTGGGGGGGGGGGGGGGGGGGAATTTCCAGCAGGTTCTTTGTCTTCCATTAATCATAATTCTATATTGAGCAAAAGAGCTGATAAAAGGGTCCTCTGTTGGCCCCTCTAATTATTAAATAAAATAAAAAAGTATAATACATATGGGAGTGTCCCCAAAGGGTAATAAAATGTAGAGCCAAATCCTACACTATTGTGCCCACCATCCCCAAGATTCTTGTATGTACCAATCAAGAAAGGTCACAAACCCAATAAATAAAGTAAGTACTTTCTTATAATTTATTATAAGTGTCTTATTTACACCTATTTTTAATTAAAAACATAAAATTTCAAAAATTTACATTTACTTTTTAAATTATGTGCACAGTCGAATTAAAAGATACTTAAATTGAATGGAGAGAGTAGATTGACATGTAAATATAGTCAATGCTATGATGTGGGGTCTTTTCTATGAGTAATTTTCTTCCAATCACATATACTCCATTTTTTTTTATGTTTTAATTATAATTAGTTAATGAGGTAGTAATGGACAACGAAGCAACTCTTTTTTTCAACAAAGAAATAAATAAATATTGTTACTGTGAAAGTATTATATTAAGCTGGCGTGGAAGTGGCCGTTTATAAATTATACCATCTCCGTTCTAATTTATGTAAATTTATTTTGAGTGGAGATAAAAAAAATAAATTAATTTTTGAATATATCATAATATTTGTACTGGCAATCTTAAAAATGTTATTATATTCATATGATGATAAAATGTCTCATGTATTATAGTAAGATGGAAAGCTCAAATCAAAGTGCTTTCAGTTATGTTATTTTTCTCAACAGACAGAGTAACAAACGTTTGTTCAATGTGTGTGAATGGTAAACTGTATTCACGTGTTTTCAAACGTCTATTAGGTAAGTTAATCACATAAAATATGACATCTTCCTTAGTTATAAGCATTAGCCTCGATTAAAATAACTTTAACATTTTACAGTTTATTGAAATTAATAGGTATAATTAAAGACGATGATATATTTTAAATGTTTAACGTATCTACATATTGAACACTTGAAAATCAATTTAAAAGATTTTCCTAAATTTGAATTAAAAGTTTCTAATATAAATATTTTATCATGCATTCAGATTTTCAATCGGAACAAATTGAGATAATGTGTCGAGGTATTGAGTAATCATATTCATCTTTCCTCAAAAAAAAATAAATGGAAATGCAGGCTAGTTTACTTTATCCTTCTCTAAATTATGCATCTTGGTTAAGTGGATTAATAAGTGTTTTCTTAATTTGCTACATAAATGTGACATGTAGATACTTAATAGCAACGCAAGGTTTGGGTAATTTTTAAGATTAAAGCATGTGTATTGTGATTAACAAAGCAATTTCAATAATCACTTAAAATCTTATATTTTGTCTGCTAGCTGGCAGTTACTATATAATATATAGTAGTTCTACTTATACTTTAATTTAGCTTAACGAAGAATCTTAATTGATTTTCTGACTCGATTAATCTTACAAAATTGTATTATTCTTATTTTAAATTTAAAGATTTTCATATCAAACAGGAATCTTGATAATGGGATTGGTACCAAGCTGTATTCATATGGGTTTAATTATAATGTCTTGGAACTATTAGACAGTTTATCAAACAGAAGCAAATTAAGAAATCATATTTTAGCAATTATTGCATGTGCATTTCTGGCAAAATTAAACTACACTGCACTAAATATATTTTATGCTTGATTTTCTAGAAGCATCTATAGAGAGCGATATAATTTATTTAAATATTGTATTTATTAAAATAATATAATATAATACATTATGAAGCAATATGTAACAAACATCTAAACAGAGTGTTAGGCATTGTTTTGACAAACTTTATTTAAGTAAATGTCTAGTGTTTTTTCAAGATTAAAATAAACCTATAGGATATAGTAATAAGAAAACTTCAACAAATTAGAACGAGGATAAATAATTAGATTAATACATAATAAAGTATTTATAAGTGAATGAAAAAATGGTCACTCAATTAGAACATGACACATGTTAACCAGCAAAATGTGACACGTGTCACATTCTAGCCTTGTCAAGACACGTGTCAAAAACCTTGACATGTGTAAATGGCCTCCCACATTGGTCAATGGTATTTTCTCTGTTAAATTTGATTTATTGATTTGCAAATTATTGGAAAAAATTAAGCAAATTCTATAAGTTTTTCTAGACAAATTCAATGCTTTCAAATCTCTGCAGAATCGACACTGCCATATTTTCCAGATTTCATAAGATGTAGTTGGTGATTATTTAGTATTTTTTCTTGAGGTGCGGAAAAAACACGATAAATAATTTAAAATGGATAAAGTAATTTAACAATTTCCAATTGTTATGACCTAAGTCACTTAATAATGTGTAACAAGAAATATACACGATAAATAATTTGAGATGGATAAAGTAATTTAACAATTTCTAATTGTTGTGACCTAAGTCGCTCAATAATGTGTAACAAAAAATATACACTAATAGAAATAAGCGAATTTCTTACTGATTTCTATTCTAACAAAAATGTGTTTGTTGGAAACTATTTTTGACGAATTTTTATTACCATAAGTGTTTTGATGAAAACGTTTGAGAAAAAATTGTAGATTTTTAGTAGCGATATTATTTTTTTTTAATTTTTAGTAGGTTAGTTGATTGACAACTTAAACTTCTATTATGTTACTAGTGAGATTTGATTTTCCGTCGTATAATCATTTCATCAAACATTATACCCATTTCATTATTGGTAATGCAAACTATTTCTCTACCACTTGGTTATAAATGAAAAGTTACAATATATATTTCTAATTCTTGATCTAGAGCCACTAGAGAGCAAATTTAACCAAGTAGTGGACCAACGAAAAAGTCAAATATTACCTTAGATCACTACATGATGTGAAAAGGTAACCCAAAATATTTTACCGAGCATTTATACCAAACTATATTAATAAAATATAAAGACATAATACATAAATATGAATCTTAACTTAGCGTCAGTTAGCAACTATGACTTTTAATTTTGGGTGTGCACTTA